CAGTTTCTGATTTGTGTTTTGCACGTTCTAGAACAGCTTCGGCGACTACTTTGACACCCTCCCAGGTTTCCCTAGCCGTTGGGATTAGTTCAGATTCGCCAAGAATGAATCCATCCCAGTCTATAATAAAAGGCATATGTCTATTTCTTCTTTTTTCAAGATTGAATCGATTAGGAAATTGTACTCTTTTCATCCGGACGCAGTTCCAGGAGGTAAACATATTTGACGCCACCGGCATGTTTCGCCCAATCCTCGCTACCACCGGATGCCGGATCTAATTGATCTATTCATTGGAGATGATGAAAATGAATAGAATAGCTTACAAAGAGTATCTGCTCCACTTCCGACCACATATTTGGTGCCATAAACATCTTGCAGCGCCTTTGCTGCTTTCTTTCCTACATCGTACTGGAATGACGAAGTTTAGTATGGATTGATATGAGGGCTTGGGGAAAATGCTGCGATTTATCAGTGTATTGCGCGACACTTTTGATAACGAATTTTTTGAAAGCTTTAAAATCACATTGAACTAAACAGGAACTTACGAGTTCTTGGATGTCGCCTGGATAGCTGTCCTTGCGATGACCATAAGGATGAATCCAAATCTGAGAGTAGGTGTGCAGAGTAATGAAACCATCAACACGTCCTTTGTAGCGTCTTGAGAGGATCGCGTCACGAATTGCTCTTAAATAGTTTTTTCCCTTTGTTTTGACTAGATATCTTTCTTGGTTCAAAGATCCCAAAGGCAAATTTGTCATAGCCTATGAGACTTATTTACCTCGTCTCTGGTTCGCTGAATGGTCCTGTTCCTTGATAAATTTCGGAGCATGGATCATCACTTGACCCGCTTTCTAAAACAAGCACAAGCACTAAGGTGTCCAGGAAAATGTTAGTAATAAGATTTCCAAATATTCCAACCTTTGAAGTGGAAGTCAAAGTTTCTATTGAGATCAACACCACGGCAGCATCGATTTCTTCCCCAATTGTCTTTGTGACATTGCATTGTTGAGCGATTTTTTCTCCATAAACGAATCTGTAACGCTATTTATGTATAAATT